CACATCTGGCCTCGTATCTCAGCCAGATGTGAAACGAGGGAGCGAGACCTGCTGCATCTCACCCTCCCCAGGTGCTGGGGCCCTTTCCAAATAAAGCTTAGGTTAAGTCCTATAGGTTAAGTCCATGATGAGGCTGCTCTCAGCCGAGAGCAAAATCTGGATGAACCCCCAAAAATAAACTAAAACCGTCCTGCAGAGCCATGGACGATGCTCCGTGCTCCTCCCGTCCACGGGCCTGATCGTCGTGTTCACAGGGGTTGCGATTGTGGGTATTAAGAGCATCGCGAAAGCATACATTTAAAATTAATTGGGAATTATACACAAACTAAGCATTGAGGCAGCCCTGGTACGGGCCTGAGTGCACCATCAGCCCACTGCTCCCTTCAATTATCTTTTTTTTTCCCGCATTGTTCTCTCTTAATGAGGAGACTAATGACCAAAGGATGGTTCATAAGTGGTTCCCAGACTCTCCTTGCCCAGGGCAAACACCGTCCACAATAGGATCACAAATTGTAGGGAGAAGCCCCGGCTGATCACATCAGAAACGGTGCAGGGATTTATCTCTCTGCCTTAACAATAACAGTATGTTCTTAATCGCCACTCCAAAGGGACAGCTAGCAGGGGATCTGCCTGGCCTCATCATTAAAAGCTGGCAGCATCTTTGCTAGCGCTGCCCCTTTGTTCATCTTAATTCCTCTCCATCTTATTAAATCAATAGAGATGGAGGAGCGGGGGAAGGATGGGCCAGAGCAAAGGGTCGGATCCGGCTCGGCTCTCGGCAGGGGCGCTGAGTGGGAGCTGGGTCAGACCTGGTCCCGATAACCGTGGGTCGAGCTGATACCAAGGCTGTGTTTACCCAGCTCCTGCAGATGGGGAAACTGAGGCACAAGAGTGTCGCAGGAGGAGATTTTAGTAGAGCCGGAGAGCGCTTTATCTGACTGCCAGCCCCACACTTCTCAGAGACACCTCCTTATTCATCTCATACTATCAGGATTTACTTAATTTAATGATTTAATCAACTTTTTTTAAAAAAAATATCACACTGTTGCAGATGTCTGGTGCCAGGGCCTGCAGTACACCCCCAGTAAAACCCCAACCCAACCCTGTCAGGGCAGCAGGGCCTCAGTGCCGAGAGATTTTGTGCCCCAAACTATTTGCAGAGGGAGGAGATGGTGCAATTTTCATAATTTTTTTCTTTTTTGTTTTTCCTAAAGGCTCATTTCACTGAAACGAAGCCAGCCGCTGTCTGGCAGACCCTGCCATGCGTGTGCTTAGAAGGGATTTCCCCTCAAATCTTTTAGTTTTTAAAACTGGGATGGGAGATGAGGAAGGAGCAGGGGAGCTGGTGGGGTGTGCACCAGGAGCTATTTAAGCTGATGTGCCCAGACCAGGGCTGATCATGTTCCCTTACCAGACCTTGAACCTCCCCATGTGGTCCTACGAAGGATTTATGCACAGCAACGCTCGATGCTTGGTCCTGCTCCTCAGCCCTGTGTTTCTTGTTGCTGGATAAATACCTTTTAAACCTGAGATTTTTTAAACAGGATATTTTGAAACCAGAGATTTTGAAACCCGGAGATTTTAGTCGCTGAAATTCTCTAACCCCGCATGAGGGGTCTTCTTTGTCACCTGGTTTCCCTGCTGCATTTCCAGGCAGGTCACCCCATTTCACTCGTATTTTCCTGCACCCAGGAGCAAATTCCCAGCTGAGAGTTTAATGCTCTTTGGCTGAGTAAGTCAACTTGGGGAAAATTCAACCCAGAAAGACGGCAGAAGGTGGGATGTCGTGGAGTTTCCTCCCATCACTTGCGATGTCTTTATTTCTGCTGAAACCAGGCGGTGCGGAGCCACTGGAGCTGCCTGGCAGCCCTCGGGAAGCTTTATTTGATGTTTCATTTGGCAATTGAAGGGGAGGGAGAAGCAAGCGGGAAATGGTCTCTGACCATTTAACAAGATTACATGATGAGAAGGAGCCTGAAAACATGCACAGCCGACCCCGGCGCCCCACGTCCCAGCTCGGGTTGGGCTTTGCCTTGAACCTCTGCCGATGGCAGGTTGCCCTCGCCGGCACCCCAGCCCGTCCTCAGCACATGATAATCCCATTTAGCAAAATCCCCCGATAAGAGAGTGCGAGGGAGCAATCAGCCGAGGAGGAAGGGGGCTGCCAGCTCAGGGAAGGGATGCAAAAGGCGTCTGGGAAAGCGGCTGGGTCGCAAGGATTGAGGGGGGCTGGAGGGGTCCTGCTGCTCCAGCATCCAAATGCCCCGTCCTGCAAACTTCCACCGTCCTGAGTAAACGCAGTCCATGCAAACAAATCGCGTCCGTCGCCATTATCCCAGCAGGAAGGAGAGCAGGGAGGGGGACTTGCAGGACTAGTGTGCTACTGCTCCACATGGTTATCCCTTCTCCTATCTCTCCTTCCATCTCCCATCTCATCCCATTTAACCGGTTACCCATTTGCACCTATTCACCAGGGCCCTCGCAGCATTCATCCCCAATCATCCACCCATCCACCTCATCCACATGCAGACCAGGCTGTTCCTCTGGGCAAACAAGTCCATCCTGATACATCCACCCAGTCTCACAACCTACCTGTCCTCCTGCTTATCTACGGGGCAGAGATTTACTGGGGAGAGCTCAGTGCTGCATCTTCAGCAGATAACCTTTATCCGCTTAATAAGGCTGCTTAATTCTCACTTCTTTATAATTATCTGTCACTGAAACCAAACTCGTTTTTTTGCAGGTGGGTGAAAAAAATAGCATCTTTAAGAGAGCAATGGGATATGCAGGATTGGGAGACTAGTCAGGCTTTTGGGATGAATGTGATGTTTGGAGAAGGACACGCAACTCTTATTCTGCAGATTTTTGAGAGGAGCCAAGGCTCTGTCCCAGGAGGGTTGATCCAGCCCAAGACCTTGCTAAGCTCTGGGACCACCTCTCTCCTTTCTTTTCCACTGTGCCAAATCACTGTGCCTGAGTTTGATCCAAATCCATGTCGAGTTGCCAGGAATTGGGCTGAGCTGCAAGACCTCCTCCCCAGACTGCGGAGGAGATATCTGCCATGGGAGAAACAAACTGCATTTCTGCTTCTTTTTCCAGGATGCCAGGGCTTGCAGGGGCTTGGCAGGGCACTAAAATGACCTGGCTGAATCAGGCTTTTCTGAAAAACATCTCCTCTGTCCAGTTATGTGGATCAGCCGTGAGCGTTTGGCCCGTCTCATCCCCACTGGAAAAGTAACCAGCTACTTTGTCCTGCAGATACAGTCACTTCCCCACCCTAAGGAACCTGCAACCAGCTTAATCACTGAGTGAGAAAAAGACAGGAGAGAGCTTTACTTGGTACCCAACTCTCCCGTGGCAAGTAGAAAAGGGAACACAGAGCCCTGCACACCCCTGGGGACCGGCCACTCCCTCCAGGATTGTCACTTGACATGAGAAAAGCCTCCTAAGTCAAAGCCTGAAGTGCCAAAGGGATGGATGTGGTTTAATCCATCTCATGTAAAAGTTACATTTTGAAAAATTCGCTCAAGCCCAGCAGTTTTAATTAAAGTAATTTCCCTGGTCAGACACTGCCCGCAGAGGGATCCGAGCTGGGCATCCCCCACTGAGCATCCCCCGGAGCAGGTTCCCTGCTGCCCGCCCCGGAGGAGCCCGGCACCATGGAAAAGGCCCAATCCTGCCTGAGGCTGAGCACTGCCAGCTCGCAGGGGATTAAAGGTGTCCTGAGAACAACTTAACTCTCGCAATCAGCTCGGCCCCCTGGCCGGGCGATATTAAAACATCCCCCGTAAGCCCTGTTGTCTCGGGGTGATTGCAATAAACCCACCGGCAGGCGAGATTAGTGGGTTAAACCCACCGGCGCAGCCTGGGCTCCCGGCAGACATGTGAAGACATTAGCACAGTTTGGGCTCTTTGAGACTCGCCGGCTAATCCCAGCTCTGAAAACAGCTGGAACAAAGGGCAGCTTCCGTCACATCGTCCCCTTCTCCTGGCACCATCCCCTTCTTCTTGCACCGTCCCTCTCTCCTTGCCCCGTCCCCTCTCTCTTTGCCCCGTCCCCTCTCTTTGCACGGTTCCTTCTCTTCTCATCAGGCCTCATACCTGCCCAAATAAACCCTTCACCTCAGGCTTTTCTTTCCCTCAGCCCCAAGCCCAGAGCAGACACAGAGAAAATAGGGTCAGAAGGAGCTGGTGCTGCCCAGGCAAGCACCAAAATTCCCCAAGGCTGCTCTTATCTAGGAGGTCCAGGGCCGTTGGTACTTGCTTGCTTCACATTCTTGCAAGGAGCTCCCCAGCTCCCCGTGGAGCCCACCCTCGGAGCTCATCCCCAGGTCAGTGTCTGCTCCAAACCTGCTGCACTTGAAACCTCCACATCTGCCTAAGCAGACACAGGCAATTAAAATTAAAACCTGGCTAATCCTTGCCCAGCTGACCCGGCACCCCTAGGTGCCCAGCTCACAAATCCACCACCAGCTCTGCTCTCCAGGTGCATTTTCCCTGGTTTTCTTAATTTTCCTTGCTCTGAAAGCCCCGGAGAGCAGGATGTTATGGCTGGGTTGGGATGTGAGCGCTGTGAGCAGAGCAGGGTGTTACGGAGAAGATGCTGCTGACAGGAAGGAAGACGGATGGACCATAGGATGGAAGTCCTCTACAAGAACCCTTGTGAAGGTCACGAGCCGTTTTAGAGCACAAGGAGGTATCTGAGCACCTTTGGGATGAGCCTGGCTATGGGGCTGATTGTGGGTGGGGTGAGCAGGTGGTCCCCACTGCCCTTGACCTCCAGGGCTTGCTCCCAGGAAAAAAACCCCACTGAACGCTTCCTGCCACTGCAGGCACGTGTGATTTTTCCTCCTTCTATAAAGATGAGGCCAAGAGTTGCATAAATAATTTATTTTTGCACTGCAAAAATAATCCGTGCCCTGTATCTATTAGATACCCTCATTGCCAGCTATGATACATTTATATAATACACAAAGAAAAATGGCCCCTGAAGGGTTGATTCAGCAGCTCTTTGCCACAGTCTGTGCAGGTGCTGAGGTCGTGTCCTCCTGGCCATCCTCTGACTCTGCCGGGAAGTCCTTGTCCTCCTCGCCGTGGTGGCTCTGCGAATCGGGGCTCCTCTGCGAGGTGGCTAAACCCATTTTGGCCAGTTTGGCTTGTTGTTGTTCCAGGGTTTGTTTCCTCCACTTGATCCTCCGGTTTTGGAACCAGACTTTCACCTTAGGGAAGAGGTAAAGAGTAGCTTTCAAAGCTGGTTTCTCCATGGACCATGGTGAAACTGCCTCAAGCAGTAGCCACACACTCTTTAGGCGCCTACCACCTCAGACATCTGGCTGGCCAGGACAGACATCCCCTGCCATGCTCTCTCCCCAGCGAGATGAAAAACTGTCCCCTGCAGCCCAGAAGTTGAGCTGGGACCTGCCAGTGGTGGAGAAGATCCAGCCTTAAGGTGGACGCAAGTTCAGCCCCTCTTCATGGCCCTGGAACAGCCACTTCGTGACTCAGTTTCCCCATCTGTGATCCTCCACCTTTTTAATGTAACCTATCTGCAACTACTACCCTCACACAGCTCCTGCCCCATGTTGAGGGACATGGCCCAGGTGCCAACCATCAGCACAGAGATGTGGGACCCTCCCTGGACCTGCTGGAGATGGAGTGTGGTGGGACTTACCTGCTCTTCTGTGAGGTGCAGGGAAGAAGCGAGCAGGCACCTCTCTTTGCCCATCATGTACTGCCGCCGCGCAAACGCCTTCTCCAGCCGGGCCAGCTGGTCGCTCGTGAAGGTGGTCCGGACCCGCTTGGCTTTGCCAGTCTTGGCTTTGAAGACGGGGAAGCCGCACTTGGAGATGAGGAAGCCTGGAAAAGAGGGAGAAAAGGGGGGTCAGGGTGGAGAGGAGCCCTTGGAGATGTCTCTTTAAGAGTGAGGTGTCCCCCTTGGAAGGCCTTTTCTTGGAGATGCTCCAAAGATCTTCCCATTTGGAGTTGTCCCCTTTGGAGAGGTAGAAAGGCTCTCTTTGGAGGAGTTCCCCTGTTTGAAGAAGTAGGAGAGGGTTCTCCATATAGGGGATCTCTTTGGTGAGGTGAACGCCAGTCCCTCTTGGAGAGAATCCTTTTGGAGGGGCACCACATGAAGAGGTGGAAGAAGGTCTCTGGTTTGGAAATATCCCACTGGGAGAAGTCCAGAGAGTCTCACTTGGAGAGGGAGAAGAGGCCCCTCATTGGAGAGATACCCTTCTGAGAAGGCAGAGGAAGTCCCCCACTTGGAGACATCCAAATGGGAGAGGTGGTCAGAGGTCCCCTTGCAAGAGAGGTCTCCCATTTGGAGAGGGAAAAGGAGATCACAGTTTGTGGATGTCCCTACAGGAGATGTCAATTCAGGCCCCCTTTGGAGACAACTGCTTTGGATGGGGTCGTCTTCAGGAGACAGAGATTTTTTTGGAGATGTCCCCATGGGAGAGGTGGATTCTGATCCTTATTTGAACAAGTCCCCATGGGAGAGGTGCAGAGGGCCCTCTCTGAAAGAAGTCCCCTTGAGAGGGCTCCCCTAGGGAGAGGTAGCTAAGGATTCCCCCTTGAAAAGATGGAAAGAGATCCCCCATTTGGAGACATCCCCATGGGAGAGCTGGACCGGGGTCCCCCTGGAAGAGAGCACCTTTGGGGGCCAACCTCCTTGGAGAGATGGAAGGAGGTTCTCATTTGGAGGTGTCCTCAAGGGAGAGGTGGACAGGGTGTGCCCATGGAAGAAATCCCCTTTGGAGTGGGAAGGACGGATGGAAGGTCTCTACTTGGAGACGTCCCCATGGGAGAGGTGTCCATGGATCCCCCCTGGAAGAGGTACATCTGGGAGGAGCCCCCCCTTGGAGAGATGGAAAGAGTTCCCTGTTTGGAGATGTCCACGTGGGAGAGGAGGACAGGGGTCCCCCCCCCAAGAAGAGGTCCCCTGGAGCAGGTGTGGCCATCTTGGAAAGATGGAAGGAGGTCCCTACTTGGAGATGTCCCCACGGGAAAGGTGTCCATGGGTCCCCCCTGGAAGAGATCCCCTTCGGAAGAGTTCCCCATTGGAAAGTCAGAAGGAGATGCCTATCTGGAGATGTCCCCATGCGAGAGGTGTCTGAGGGTCCACCCTGGAAGAGATCGCTTTTGGACGAGTCCCCCCT